TTTTTAACATATTTGACCCCTGTGACCTTGAATATGGGTGAAGGTCATTCATTTGAACAAACTTTGTAGCACTTCATCTCAGCATGCTACTGGCTAAATATCATCACCCTGAGCATTTTGGTTATTCAGAAGAAGTTGTTTAAAGGTTTTTTAATACAATTGACCCCTGTGACCTTGAATATAATTGAAGGTCATTCATTTGAACAAACTTGGTAGCCCTTCACCCAAGCATGCTACTGGCCAAATATCATCTCCCTGGGCATTTTGGTTATTGAGAAGAAGATGTTTAAAGTTTTTGACATATTTGACCCCTGTGACCTTGAAAATAGGTGAAGGTCATTTATTTGAACAAACTTTGTAGCCCTTCATCCAAGTTTGCTTCTGGCCAAATATTGACACCCTAGGCCTTTCGGTTATTAAGAAGAAGTCGTTTAAAGTAAAATATTGACGCCGGACGACGGACTGACGGACGGACGGACGGACGGACGGACGGACGGACGGACGGACGGACGACGGACGGACGGACGACGGACGCCGCGCCACGGCATAAGCTCACTTGGCACTTCGTGCCAGGTGAGCTAAAAACCAGACATTACTTTTATCCCGAAATCGAGAGCGTGAGATCGTAAACGGATAGGTTAAAATATTCGCAATACATTTCCAATTTTCAGTAAACACATTATCTCGAAATAAGGCAAAAATGAATTCCCCGTGTATACAATAAATGTTTATGATTCTTTAATCCAGTTAAATCCGATCAAACACATGTGTCTGTCGTTCATTATACACTTTTCACCACGAGCGGTCAAGCAGCGGGTTGTTTTCATGTTACCATGTAGGGGTCAACTAAGGTCAGCATCGGAGTTTTTTTTTAAAGGACGTAAAAACCCGTCCTGTAGAATCATTTATTTGTGTGGGGTTAAAATTTCGTGGTTTTCATATACTAGCCTGTTTCAAAGGCATTATATTTCACTGATTTCTTATTTTCACCTACCTATATTATACCAAGTTTATTTTTTCGTGCGGATTTAATTTTGTGCATTTTTGTTATCCACGAAATAAACGAAATTTAATGTCCCACGAAAATTTATGATTTTACAGTACGTGCAAGAGGCCCAATGGGCCTACATCGCTCACCTGGTATTAATCTCACACTTGTAATCTTAAAAGTGGACTAAAATACAGCTACAGGCAGAATATCAGTGTTTGATTCATAAGAATCTATTTAAAGATTTAAACATGAAGCCTGTGTCCTAGAATGTCGAACAAGGACATTAGGTTGAAAGTGGGTCAAGGTCATTCATTTGAACAAACTTGGTAGCCCTTCATCCCAGTATGCTACAGGCCCAATATCAGTACCCTGGGCCTTTTGGTTATTGAGAAGAAGTCGTTTGAAGATTTTAAAACATCTGACCCCAGTGACCTTGATAGTGGGTCAAGGTCATTCATCCCTGCCTGCTACAGGCCCAATACCAGTACCCTGGGCCTTTTGATTATTAAGAAGAAGTGGTTTGAAGATTTAAAGACATTTGACCCCTGTGACCTTCAAAGTTGGTCACGGTCATTCATTTGAACAAACTTGGTAGCCCTTCATCACAACATGCTACTGGCCAAATAGCATCATCCTAGGTCTCTCAGTTATTCAGAAGATGTTGTTTGAAGACTTTTTAAGATAATTGACCCCAGTGACCTTGAAAATGGATGAAGGTCATTCATTTCAACAAACTTGGAAGCCCTTTATCACAGCATGCTACTGGCCAAATAGCAGTACCCTGGGCCTTTTGGTTATTGAAAAGAAGTTGTTTGAAGATTTTAAGACATTTGACCCATGTGACCTTGAAAATTGGTCAATGTCATTCATTTGAATGAACTTGGTAGCCCTTCATCCCAGCATGCTACAGGCTCAATATCAGTTCCCTGGGCCTTTTGGTTATTGAGAAGAAGTTGTTTGAAGATTTTAAAGACATTTGACCCCTGTGACTTTGAAAATTGGTCAAGGTCATTCAAACTTTGTAGCCCTACATCCCAGCATGCTACAGGCCTAATATCAGTACCCTGTGCCTTTTGGTTATTGAGAAGAAGTTGTTTGAAGATTTTAAGACATCTTACCAGTGACCTTCAAAGTTGGTCAAGGTCATTCATTTGAATGAACTTGGTGGCCCTTCATCCCAGCATGCTACAGGCTCAATATCAGTACCCTGGGCCTTTTGGTTATTGAGAAGAAGTTGTTTGAAGATTTTAAGACATCTGACCCCAGTGACCTTGAAAGTGGCTCAACGTTATTCATTTGAACAAACCTGGTAGCCCTTCATCCCAGCATGCTACAGGCAAATATCAGTACCCTGGGCATTTTGGTTATTGAGAAGAAGTGGTTTGAAGATTTTAAAGACATCTTACCCCAGTGACCTTGAAAGTGGGTCAACGTCATTCATTTGAACAAACTTGGTAGATCTTCATCCCAGCATGCTACAGGCCCAATATCAGTACCCTGGGCCTTTTGGTTATTGAGAAGAAGTTGTTTGAAGATTTTAAGACATCTTACCCCAGTGACCTTGAAAGTGGCTCAACGTAATTCATTTGAACAAACCTGGTAGCCCTTCATCCCAGCATGCTACAGGCAAATATCAGTACCCTGGGCATTTTGGTTATTGAGAAGAAGTTGT